GCAGACTCGCTTGAGACCCGGGAGGCAGAGGTTGCAGTGAGCCGAGATGGCGCCACTGCACTCCAGCCTGGGTGACAAAGTGACACTCAGTCTCAGAAAAACAAAACAAAACAAAACAAAACAAAACAAAACAAAACAATAGTTTCCCCAGACCCCAGCCTAGTTCTACTGAGGCAGGTCTCTGGAGAGGGGCCCAGGTTAACTAAGTCCCTACTTGACTCTCTGCCCACCAACATTTGGAAATCGCTGAGCTGGACCATGGTGGAGGTACGTAGACAGTGAAAAAATTCTGGTTTGCCAAATCAGCCCGATCAAATCCAAGTGGAGATGCACTAACAGAAAGCCTCAGACACACTTACTATCTTGGTAACTAACTAGAGCCCTCAGGTACCTCATGATGCTAGAATCTGTTTTTATCTTAAAGAGAGGTTTACATTAGTAAATTACAGTGGAATTAAAAGCTTACAGATAAGTCATATTTTTCAATAAATAAACTTTGACTATTCTTTAGGAGCTCTTAATGTTGGATTTGTTTTTAAAATTATGTTTACATTTTTAAAAACATATGCCAGTGTGGTGGTTCACGCCCTTAATCCCAGCACTTTGAGAGACCGAGGCAAGAGGATCAGTTGAGGCCAGGAGTTTCAGGCCATCCTGGGCAACACAGGGAGACCACATCTCTACAAAAAATAAAAGTAAAAATAAAAATTAGCTGGACATGGTGACATGCACCTGCAGTTCTTGCTACTTGGTAGGCTAAGGTGGGAGGATCCCTTGAGCCCAGGATTTTGAGACTACAGTGAGCTATGATCACATCACTGCCCTCCAGCACAGGGGATAGAGCTAGACTCCATCTCAAAAACAACAACCATAAAAATAAATAAAAAATGTAGACATGCTTATCAAGAATTTGCACTGTACCTGTGAATTCTGGAAGCACAAAATTCTTTTTTGAGATTAATGTGTACATAAGAGCATAATCCTTTTTCACTTATATGTGTCACATAAACAGTATATGAGAACAACAAAGGGCGTGCCTATTTTTGTGTTTTCAGGATGCATTCAGTGTGAAAAAAGAAAATATCTCGGAGTTGTTATTTACTTGATTTATGGAGTGGATTTATTTCAGTAATGGCCTTCACTAGGTAAGAAGATATTCTGAATTTGCCTGCTTTTCTGTGTTAAAATTATTTGGCAGATGTTAATTTTAAGGGATAAGGATACATATTTGAGAAGACAAAAAATCATATCATGTTGTTGTTTTTATAATACAAAGGCAGAATAAGAAACCCATCTCTCAATGCATAACAATTTTAGCCATTTAGGAATAAAAGCACTGATTCCCATGAAAATAAGCATGATAAAATAACATAAGAGCTTTGAATCTTGGAAGGTTGTAAACATAAATGACCCCCTGAACAGTAATCCTGGAGCTATGATATATATGTAGATTGTCTCTGTGATGTTCTCTTGTTCAGGGTACATCTTGTCAGCCGATCCCTCAATATAATGTATTTGCAACTGACTACTATTCAGCAGCCTTCTGAAATGTGCTGGTGCTATTACACTTCTCTATTCCATTAGTCACACTCCCAGGTAAAACCTACGTAGGAGTTTCTAGACTCCACAGCCTGCTTTTCCTGATAAATGAAACCTACATTCCAGCCAAGCTATTTGCTCTTCTTTGCCACTATGCAATATCTTAGCTGATAAGCTAACAAGAATCAACATTTACTAATCTAGTTAACAACTTTTCCAAACATATTTCTCATTTTGATTTTAGTGAACAGTGATGTTCATGAAGATGAACATTCAAGTTGCAATCTAAATTTCCTTAATGAAATCATCTCTTTCAGGAAAAAGCCAATTTCCTTTGAGTATGATACATTATCATTCTTAACGGAGCCCCAGCTTTTCTCCCCAGCCTCTTCCCTTGCCCCCTCCCAATATATGGTCACACTCTACACAGCCCACTTACGTCAGTAGTCCCACCAGTGCCCTGGGTTCCTTTAAGCTCCTGAGTCCTTGAACTTTGCTGTTCATCTGAACTGTCCTTTTCCACTCTCTAGAAGAATTCTTTCTGCTCACATTCAATGCCCCCAATTCCTATCTATTCCTAGTCCCTCTTAAAATCCGACTGGAGGTTTACTGCTCTACTCTGAAGTCTTAAAACATGCTAATCTTCACAGATTATCTTGTATTGTAATTGTTGGCCTAGTTAGTATTATCTGCCCCTTGACTAAGTTTCAAGAGGCCAAACATGATCTTTCATCTGTCTTCCAGTGGTTCATTCTAGAACCTACATACAACAAACAAAAGTCAAACTGGTTGTTGACAGTTAACTTTCGTGGGCCTGCATCCTTAAAATTGTCTTATAAAAATATCCTAATTCATGAGAAATATTAGAGGAAGGCAAGGCCCAGCTTACTTAAAAGCAAATAATTAACTATCCTCTATTATATAAAGTAAAAATCAGATTAAACACTATTATTTTAATGCAGTATATAAAACTTTTACTAAGTATCACTGAACTATTTTCTGAGACATAATTTTACTAGATCTGCATAATAGTAAGTCACAGAGCCCTTCTTTGCTTCGGTTCCTTGTTTGGTAATATAAACCTTTAAATTATATTGTTTATTTCTCCCAGTTTTCATATGTCACCATGACTTTTAAAATGGCTCTTTTCATTTTCATAACTTTTCTACAATGCACATAATAATAATTATGTCAGTGGGAAAGTATGCATTTGTATTTAGTCTATTGAAGAGATATTATGGCTAGGGTCCACAATGTAAAGTACAGATCTGATTAATAAACAATCTGGTTAATAATAATTTTGTATCATGAAGAAAAACTCCGACATTACTCGGAAATTCAACACATTGAAATCGAAAGTACTAGAATGATCTACTTATACAAATGGTCTTTTAAAACACTGCAAGACACTTGAGTAAACCAGCCATCAAACTAGACGCAGCTTTTTCATGGTCATTACCCATAGTTTGTAAGAACTGAAAATTTGTAAGGGTAAAATTTAATATATACAGTACCTTATTAAGCAGCGGAAGAGACTAGTAGGTCGAATCCTGCCCAAGAGGTTTTGCAATTTTCTCTTTAAAAAAACATGTACTTCTCCCGCATCCCCAACACCCACAGCGCTTGTTAAAGGGAAATGGATACGGATGCCCCATCCCTTTGGTTTCTCAAGGCATTTTACTAAGAACGAGGTCACCTAGTGAGTCCCATGTGGTGAATGTGCACCTGGGCAGCGCATGAGGGTCCTTGGAAAGCACCACAGGGAGGGCGACCACGCAAACCGCTGTCCCGCGCGACCCCCGCCGAGAGCCCGGGCAGCGCTGCGCTCGGTGCGCACGGGCAGCGTCTGGCACCCACGCGGCCTCCTGCTCCCGCGGGTCTGGCTGGGGCGAGGGGCGGAGTGGGCAGGATCTTCAGATTAAAGGAGACCGATGCTTGCCCATCCAGCCTAGGAGCCAGAATCGAGGTGACCCCAGATTTTCCCAGAGTGTGTCTGTTGCCTTTCCTTCTCAGAACTCCGAGAGCCAACGCTAAGGGGCACCAGAGGCTCAGGCTGCGGCGGCGACTCGCAGGCACCCAGCTGGCCCGCGGCTGCGGAGGTCCTCGGAGAAGCCCACCCGGGCGGGGGCTGGGCGCAAGCAGCGGGGGCAGGGGGAGGGTCGGAGCCGCTCCAGAGGGTCCAGGTCCGAGGAGGAGCCCTCGGAGACGCGGACGGTGCACGTGGAGGCCGGGGCTAGGGTCACTACCCCGGGTGGCGCAGGGCTCACCGCTTCTTCCCACGACTCTAGGAGGCCACTTCTCACCGTTCACTTTAGAAAGGAAAACATGGACAGATAGGTGGCTGTTCCCCGGGCAGCTGCACTGTCGATGCAGGTGCACAGGCGCGCACGCACCCGCCGGGTCACACACCAGGACGGAATCACCGCACGCACGGGGAGCGGCGGATCTCGGGGTCCAGGATCCGAGGCGCGTTCAGAGACCACATGTCACCTCGTCCCCCCCAGCCAATTCGAGCGTCCTCCGCGTCCACCTTCCCTCGCAAGTGGCTCGGTCCTTAGTTCAGAGGACTCTGCCCAGACCCTCGCCCCAGTGGAGACCTCCGCCCGGGCGCCGGCAACTAGGACGCTTCCGAGAGCCTCCGCGGCCACGCCGACCGCAGCCTGACTTTTTATCTTTCTCTCCAATGACTAAAACAGCATATCGTGGACAGGGGTAGGACAGGAGAGAGCAGGCGCCCGAGCCCGGGGAGCCGGGCGGGGGACCTGAGCACCGCGGCCCCGCCGCCGCCGCCGCCGCCAGTCCGCCCGTCCGCCCGCCCCCGCGCGCCTTCGCCCTCCTCCGGGGCCGGCCGGCGCCACTGCGCCAGGATGAAGCGAGCTCGGCGCGGGAGGAGATGACGCAAAAGCCAGCGCTCCCCCCAAAAAAGTGTTTCTCCAGGACGAAGATGGCGGCAACTTAGCCCGGGGACTGAAGATGACTGTGGCTCTCGGGAGGCCCAGCCCAGGCGATTCGGCCCGGAGCTCCGCGGGAGGCGGCGTCAGCAGTCGGAGCCCCGGCGGCGGCGCCCGCGGGCGGCCCTGCGGCAGCGGCGGCGGCGGCAGCACTTAGAGCGCGAGGTGGGGGGGGGGGGGGAGGGAGCGCCCCGCCGGAGGCAGCCCAGGCTCCGGACTCTGGGAGAGCCGGCGCGGAGCAGGAGCGGGAGGCGGAGGAGAAGAAGGAGAAGGAGAGGAAGGAGGAGGAAGAGGAGGAGAAGAAGAGGAGGAGGAGGAGGAGGAGGGGAGGCGCTCCGGGCGCCGTCAGTGGGCAGCGAAGGCGCGGCATGCCCCTGGCAGGGGAGAGCGGGCTGGGCTCCGCGGGGCCATGGGGACCCGCGCGCTGACAATGCCTGGGTGACCGGAGCCGCGCCAGCCACCCTGCCACCTGCACCATCGCCCCCTGCACCCAGCCTCACCACCGGCCACCAGCAGCACCAGCCTCCTCCGTCTCTCTCTCTCTCTCTCTCTCTCTCTCTTTCTCTTTCTCTCTCTCTCCCCCCATTATTTCCCACTCTACAGAGGATGGGGTCGGCTGATGATTAGGTCGGAAGCAAGTCAGACCTTCCTTCAAACCCTGGTAATATTTATGTAGGCAAAAAGAGAGAGAGAGAGAGAGAGACAGAGAGAGAGAAAAAAGAGGGAGAGAGAGAGAGAGAGGAGAGAGGGAGAGGGGGAGAGAGAGAAAGAGAGAGAGGAGAGAGAGAAGAAACGGGAGGAGGGGATAAGGAAATTAAACCCTTTAAGTCAATGCATATTGTGGTGACACCGGCACAGGCGCCCTCACGGTGGAGTCGGCCAGGGCTGTGCGTTCCCAAAATATGACCAGGGGTGCTTGGATGTGTCGGCAGTATGACGACGGCTTAAAAATCTGGTTGGCAGCACCCCGGGAGAACGAGAAACCGTTCATCGATTCCGAGAGGGCTCAGAAATGGCGACTGTCTCTGGCATCTCTCTTGTTTTTCACAGTCCTGCTCTCTGATCACTTGTGGTTCTGCGCCGAGGCCAAGCTGACCCGGGCCCGGGACAAGGAGCACCAGCAGCAGCAGCAGCAGCGGCAGCAGCATCAGCAGCAGCAGCAGCAGCAGCAGCAGCGGCAGCGGCAGCAGCAGCAGCAGCAGCAGCAGCGGCAGCGGCAGCAGGAGCCCTCCTGGCCCGCGCTCCTGGCGAGCATGGGGGAGTCCTCGCCCGCCGCCCAGGCACACAGACTCCTCTCCGCCTCCTCGTCCCCCACCCTGCCCCCCTCCCCGGGAGACGGCGGCGGCGGCAAGGGCAACCGAGGCAAAGACGACCGGGGCAAGGCTCTTTTTCTAGGAAACTCTGCCAAGCCCGTGTGGCGCCTGGAGACTTGTTACCCCCAGGGCGCGTCCTCGGGCCAGTGCTTCACGGTGGAGAATGCGGACGCGGTGTGCGCCAGGAACTGGAGTCGGGGGGCGGCCGCGGGGGACGGGCAGGAGGTGAGGAGCGAGCATCCCACCCCGCCCTGGAACTTGTCAGATTTTTACCTTTCGTTTTGTAATTCCTACACACTTTGGGAGTTGTTCTCGGGGTTGTCCAGTCCCAACACTTTGAACTGCAGTCTGGATGTGGTGCTCAAGGAAGGCGGCGAGATGACCACTTGCAGGCAATGCGTCGAGGCTTACCAGGACTATGACCACCATGCTCAGGAGAAGTACGAAGAGTTTGAAAGCGTGCTCCACAAATACTTACAGTCGGAGGAGTACTCGGTGAAATCCTGTCCTGAAGACTGTAAGGTAGGAACCCTCGGGGGATTCCCCCTTTCTTATACTTCCCTTTCTCTGCTCGGTTCGGGTGTCTTTTCCAGTTTATTTTATTTTGCTTTTTGGCTCTGGTTTTGTTACTTTAATTGTGTTTTCTGTGGTTACGAAGAGCTTGGCTTGCTGTTTGAGTTGAGAATACCTGGTGGATTGCTGGTGGACTGACTGGTGCTTTCTTCCGGAGTCCTTGCAAGATCAGGGAAGTCCGTGGTTATCTGAGATAATAAAGTTGGCACTTTAACTTTTACTTACATTCATGCAGTTGGCTCAGACTCTGTTACGTCTTTTTAGAAAGTGAAGTTGAAAAAGTCTTGTCAGGAAGACAGCAATGAGACTGCACACTGATGCTCACAGGTAAAGTCAGAAGAGTTCGAGACAGGCATGTGTGGTTTGCAATATAGATCTGCACACAGGAACGCTCTGATAGTGACATCATTAAGCTGGTTGAGCGAGAGAAAGTGGTTGTAGTTGTTTAGATAGTAAAAAAAAAAAAAAATTACCTGTTTTTACAGGGTAATTCTGGTTGTTCAGAAAGTATGGGGGCCTACCTGAGGATATTTACTAAGTTTCCTGTTTCCTCTTGGACGTTTGTATAATTATTGAACTGGGACTCACTATAAATGAAAAGTTGTACTTAAGTCTCTAGTGATTGATTAGCAATAGGCTATTTATCAGACATAGTATGTAATTAGTTTGGATTTTCAGTATGCTTTTCGGAAGTATTAAATGGCAAAACGTTGATGCTATACTTAAAATTTACTGAAATATTTCATAGTAGGTATTATATTTAAGGCCTCCTTGTTCAATGTAATAAATAATATAACCCTTGCTGATGAGCAAATGAGAAGTCTGTGCAAGTTTCTTAAGAATTGGTCAATGCAAATGCAGCCATAGGTGCAGGTTTTAATAGAAGTGTCTCTGTCCGTGGTGCTGAAATGAAATTTACCCAAGCGCTGTGTTGAAGATGAAGATACTGCAGTGACCTTTAGTAGGGAAGATGTAATGACGGAATCTCTATAGGCCTTACTGCTTTGTTCCAAGGGTAATTTCTTAAACGACACGATAAACTGGCACTGCTTTTCAAAAGAAATAATACACCACATTCTCTCTCTGTCTCTCGCTCTCTCTCTCTCTTCCTCACTCCTACTTTCCCAATCCACATACAAACAAAACAACTGTCCCTCTGCCTCACTTGCTTTCTGCTGGGAAAATGAAGTCAAGGGTGGTATAGATCAAATAGTTTTGTGATTATCTGGCAAGAGAACTGGACTAAGGGATGCCTATTTTAAATGGACATAGTTGAAGGGCCATATTTTACTTTGGGTGGATTCATTGCGCTTTTGACAATTATATTAAACTCAAACTGACCTTGCCTTATTATCATTCTTTAAGACCAGAAACACGGATCTCTGAAAACAGTAAGGCTGAATTTACAACACTAATTTAGAGTGATACTTCACCAGACAAGTGTATCTTAAACTTTTCTATTTAGTTTTTTAACCATATTACATAACTTATGCCTGGGAATAAAACTTTAATGGTAGAAATTAACAATGAATGACTATTGCAATAATTGCATGGTTATTTAATTTGACAAGATGTGTTGCATTGAAATTGTAAAGAAAAGGAAACTCTATGTCTGCTAATTCTACTACTAATAGAAAGGTTGCAGAGGTTTCAGTATAGTTGTGTTTAATGGTGGTAGTAATTGGATTTGCCTCCTTCCCTGCATATAAACCCTAATTTCTAATAATTTTCATTTATATAACTCAGTATTTAAAAGATAGTTTGTATTGACAGTAGATTGCAGCACATTTTCAAATAAGCATGCAGAATACATCTTACTTTAAATGTTTAAATAAATACATTAAAAAGTTTTCTTTCCCCTTGACCTAAATTATTTCTCAACTGTATATTTACATAGTCATAACTATAAAGTATAGTGTCAGTTAACTCATTTATAACGTTATTGCCAACTTCTGAATTATGTTTTTATGTAATGTAGAAGTTAACTGTAGGTACAAAAAAGCACATTATGAAAACCTTAATTTCTTTAAAAACTTATTCTTCACATTGAAAAGTAAACGCAGACACTTGAGAGAATTAATTGCATGTTATATCTTGCAGATATTTATTGTTTGTGGGGTGTTTTTTTGTTGTAGTTGCTTGGAAACTTGAAACATTTATTCCATAATAGCTGTTGCCAAACATTACAGTTTTGAATTTAAAGTGTGGTGCTCTTAGTTAAGACTCAGGCATCAATTGATTATATATAGAAAGTTAGTAGAAGTATAGTTTCTTAGTTTAACATACAATTTATCTTTGATTCTGAAAAAGCCATAAATACATTTACGTATAAACTATACCACATGGCTTAAAATGCTTTTGTCCTCGAAAGATGTGCCTGAGTTTCTTTCTGAACACCTTTACTTATTTCAGATGGACTTAGATATATGAAATGACTATGATTAGGAGCCTTGTTCAAGATAGAAGCTCTACGCAAAATTTTTCCTTTCTGAAGGCATCTACAAAGTCATAGGCTACATTAAAAGTAAATGTATTATATTTCTGTAATTGGTAATATTTTCATTAACAATTTTAATTTATGATTTATAAATATATTTATTAAGATTATAGAGAAAAGAATACATAAAATCATGCTAGCACTACAAATTGTTGGGATTCATATTTTAGAAAAACTATTAACTTTATTATACTCCTTTATAATTAAATGAGTAAGGCATTGATTTCTAACTTTTTTGAATTAGGATGATTTATTACTTTCTACTTATATGTTCTCTCCTCATTTAAAATTGCTACATTTCATATTTTAAAAAAATTAAATTTCACTTTGATATAAATTGTTTAAGAAACTTCTTGACCAGTTATTCAAAAGAAACCCCTTAGAATAGATCTAATAAAATTATACTGTCTTAAATTTATAGTAATTGCAGATCAAATACAGATTAGATTTACTTCTGTATTGCAACATATAGAAAAAATTTGTGCTCAATAATATTTTTAAATATTCTGATAAATGGCTGGGTTAATTTTCTTCAAAAGTAAATATATGCATTTATCAGGGAAGTTATTTATGGATAAATGAAGAACATAAGATGTTGAATATATTATTAATTTTATAGCATTTTTGTACATTACATAACTTGAGTAGTAAGTATTACAGCAGTAATTTTCCTGTAGTTTGTGGTACTATTTAAAACGGTGTTTTTGATACATAATAAAAAGCTGACAGAGCTACCAAGATTTTTAAGTTGTCTGACAATATTAAAAAATGAAATATTTTAAGTTACAAAATTACAAATTTTTTTAATAAACATGCTTGATTTTACTCAAATACATATTATCTCTTATACATGCCATTCTTTAGTTCCTGAGAATTCTTGCAAATAAACCTGAAAGTGAGGAATTTATGGGATATAAACTTTTCTGTTACAGACAAACTTTTGTAGTTATTGATAGCTTTATTTAGTTACTATAGGCTCAAACAGTTGGTCAGTGTAAGTGGGTTTGAGATTAGATTGCAAAATAAATCATTGTGCCATCTGTACTTTAGTTCTGTCACTATAAATCGTAACTTTTGTACTATCAGGAATGTATGAATGCTCACATTTTTATTTTTACAATCTTATATTAAAGCAGATTATATTGATTATTTTTATTTAACACTCACAAAATGGATACCTCTCAAGTATTAGGTGTATATAATACTTAGCAGTCATGATACCCAAGACCTCTTTCATCTGGACCACCCACAAACATTACCCAGTTTGAGAACATAGACTTTGGTTTACATAATGTACAATTTTAAAAGAAAAAAAATACATTTCTTAAATTCTTATGTATTTTAGTGTTGCACACTAAAACTTCATAAGAAATAGTTTTGAAGAAGAAATCAAGTATCATACAATTTTTTTCACTTAAACTTTGAACCAAAAATATTATTTTGCTCTTTATTAAGTGCTATTGTAATATTATGCCACCATTCAGAAGTGTGGAGTTCACATCTGTAAATATAACTTTATAATATTCTACTACTTTATTTTCAAATAATTTGTATAGTTGAATTGCTGCTTTACAAGATCAGTCTGACCATGCAGATGATTACTTAACATTTTTTTATTGATACATAATATTTATATGTATTTTTATTACTTTACCATTAATAAAGCTATTTATGAAGTTGAAGAGAATAACGTGATCATTTTAGTTTATGGTTTATATTTTTTTCTTTTTGCTCCATGTACAACTATTGATTTATGATCTGTGTTTTATTTTTATAGATAGATATGCAGAATTATATCTTATTATTAGATATTTGTTTTCTCACAGACCAAGGAATATATATTTTTACTTTGGACTTATAACTAGGTCAAATTAGTGGCTACATAGTTATGATCACAAAGTTTAAATAATTGCTGTTATATATGTATTTTAATCTCTTTTATTAGGTGAAGTTAGTGTCCACATATACACTGTGAATTAAAGCATTAACAAAGGAAATCTAGCAATGCTCTCATTCTCATCCTCCTCCACAAATAAATCATAATTCACTAACATTTATTTTTACCAAATGTAATGTACATGAACAAATATATGAATAACTGTTTTAACCAAAAGACTATTTTGATTTGAATGATGTGATTTTATTTCTCAATTTATTTAAAAAATGTTTATCCTCTGTGTTGATCTCACAATGACTAAGCATGAAACATTTGGTTGTTTATATTTATTTACATTGCAAAGATATTTTTTCTGTATCAGTGAACATATACTCTAGATTAGTGGTCTGGGGGGGTCACAGTAGAACATCCTGAAAAGCTTTGAGGGCACTAAGGCCAGGGCGTCCCCAATCCTAAGAGATTCTGATTTTATCGTTCTGCTGGTGTCATGGATCTGGGCTCTGTCAGAGTTTCCCTGCTGATTCTGATGTACAGCCAAGGTTGGGAACCACCATT